CCTGGAACCGGCAGGGAGGAGGACCTGTACGCCTCTGCTATGCAGGCCCTGATCCACCTGCCGATGGTGGAGGTGGACACTTTCTGTCCTAGAGAGGACGGATGAAAGGAGATGAAAAGGGCTTCAGACTTCCGAAATGGCGCTGTGCGTTTGATGTAGCGCTTTAATGCCCTGCGAACGTCAAGCGTGTGCCACTGACATTCCAGGTCGTGAGAAGGATTGGGAGAGAAATTTGGCAGGACAACCTCCTGAGTCCTGTGAAAAATCGAGTTGACTTTAGGAACAAAGGTGGGATCTAAGCGGAGTACCACCCGGTCCTGGTGGAATACGCAGAGATCCTCCCTGATTGAAAGGGCCGCTAGTTCCGAGATACGTCTAGCAGACGTGATAGCAACAAGGAACGCGACCTTAAGAGACAAGGCCTGCAACGGTACCGTATTAATGGGTTCAAAGGGGGGTTTGACGAGCGCCCGAAGTACCCGAGGGAGTTCCCAGGAAGGGTATCGGTGCACAACGGGAGGTCGGGAGTTGGATGCGCCCTTGAGGAAGGCGCGTATCCTGGGATGTTGAGCTAAGGGACCCGAATTTGCACAAGAGAGTAACGTAGATAGAGCAGCTACCTGTCTATGAATGGTGGCAGGAGCCAACCCTCTGTCCAAACCCACCAGAAGATAGTCAACAATCTGAGGAATGGTCAGATTGTACATATCCAGTTGCTGTCTGCCACACCAATTGCAAAAACTTTTCCATGTGGAATCGTAAATGCGATTGGTAGCGGGTCGACGAGCAGCTTGGATCAAGGAAATTGCTCGCGGGGAAGAACGCTCCTGAATCATGATGCGGCGCTCAAACGCCATACGGCTAACTGAAGCCACTGAGGGTCCGGATGTTGAAGGCCCCCCTGTTGTAGCGACACGCGACTCGGGGGAATCTGCCATGGGGAATGGACGGAAAGGCTCATTAGGTCGGCGAACCAAGGCCTCCAAGGCCAGTATGGAGCCACCAGAATCACCTCCGCCCTCTCCAATAGGAGTCTGCGTATGGTCGCCGGAATGAGCGGGAGGGGAGGGAAGGCGTAGAGTAGGCCCTTCGGCCACGGAGTCCTTAAGGCGTCCGTCCCCTCCGCCCCCGGGTGATAATATCGGGAGAAGAACCTGGGGAGCTGTGCATTGTTCGGTGACGCG